AGACAAACCAATAGGTAAGTGCGTCACAAGAAATTAACGTTACACTGGTACGGTACATTTTACATCAGGAATTAAGTATGAAAAAACTTTGTGCAAGGTGGGTGCCGCACTTGTTAACCACTGACCAAAAACTCATGCGAAAACAAATTTCTCAAAAATGTTTGGACCGTTTTAAAAAGAATCCAACCGATTTTATGCGCCGATTTGTTACTATGGATGAGACGTGGGTCCACCACTACACCCCAGAAACCAAACAGCAATCGAAGCAATGGGTGGAAGCGGGTGGCTCTGCACCAAAAAAGGCAAAGTCTTTGTCTGCCGGAAAGGTCATGGCCAGTGTTTTCTGGGATGCAAAAGGAATTATTTTGATTGATTATCTTGAAAAAGGAAAAACAATAAATGGCGAATACTACGCAAGTCTCCTGGACCAACTAGATGAAAAAATTCGTGAGAAGAGGCCTGGATTGCACAAGAAAAAAATCATCTTTCACCAGGACAATGCACCTGTTCACAAAGGTGCTTTGGCAATGGGAAAACTGAGGGATCTGAATTACGAATTATTGGAACATGCACCGTATTCACCAGATTTGGCTCCCTCTGACTTCCACCTGTTCCCAAATCTGAAAAAAATTGTGGCTGGAAAGCATTTTGCATTAAATGAAGAGGTGATGGCAGCCGTAGATGCGTATTTTGCTGACCTTCCAGAATTCCACTTCAGGGATGGAATCCACTTATTGGAAAAACGTTGGACAAAGTGCGTTGAACTAAATGGAGACTATGTAGAAAAATAAATGCATTTTTGAGCAAAAAAGCACCGTCTTTCTTTACTAGGCCGAAAATTTTTCACCTTGCCCTCGTATTTCAACTTACAATTATTTGATGGTCCAAGTAATAATTATTCCGTATTTTTTGTTTACAGCGCGTAGCTGCGGGCTTGGGACTTAGCGTCCAGACTGTCAGTATTGTGGTAACTCAACGTCGCAACAGGAAAGATCAACCGGTGAATGAGGCTTCCACTAGCAAAAAGGGCAAATTCTCGTACACGCAAAAGACGAAGTGGAAGACTTCGGATATCCCTGATGCGCAAAAAATGGAGGTCCAAAACGTTCTGTACAATATGATTAAAAGACTTTAACGTGTTTGTTGTGGAGGTAATCTAGAACATGTTTAATTTGCAGGGGAACATGTAACTGTGGATAGCCTTCGCCTAGCACTCCTCGAGCGACACGTCCTAGAATTATCAAACACGTCTCTGAATCGCCTACTCCACGAACTAGGTTTTCAATTTCGAAAAGATAACAATCGTCGGGCTCTGATGGAACAACCAAACATTGTTATGCTTCGGGCGGATTTTTTACGTCTTTTCAAGGAGAACAAAACCTCACCGATCTCCAGGAAATTGATATTCTTGGACGAAACATGGATTTTCGCTAAAGGCGGCAAGAAACGGAGCTGGCAAGATGATAGTGCCAAGAGCGTGAAAAGAGGGAACAGTACGGAGGGAAAACGATTTATCGTGCTGCACGCTGGTTTAGAAGACGGTTTCGTTGCCAATGGGGCCCTTCTATTCGGGACCAAATCCAAACTCGCCGATTACCACGGCGATATGAACGCCGAGATGTTTATGAAGTGGCTAACTCAGTTACTTCCGAATTTGGAGGAGCCATCGTTGATAGTAATGGACAATGCAGCGTATCATAGTGTCGTCGTCGAGCGTAATCCGTAATCCCCAAATTCAAGAGTGGCTGACGAAGCACAACGTGCCCTTCGACCCTACGTGGTTTAAAGACTCATTATTAAACCTTACAAAAGCAGACCTGCCGCCAAAACGATACGTTGTCGATGAATATTTACGGGAGCACGGTCACGAAGCCCTCCGTCTGCCACCCTACCATTGTCAGTTCAATGCGATTGAACTGATTTGGGCACATGTAATTGGTGCCATAATGATATTTTTTAAGGAGTCCACTAACTCGATTAACCCATTTGCCGCAGAAGAAGGTCCACAGTTTATTCTACAGCATGGCAATGCGAGGCCGGGTTTTAGAGTGGCCCGCAAACTCCCCGGATCTAAATCCTATTGAGCACCTCTGGGATGTTCTTCAGAGAAGGATAAGGGATCGTCCGGCACCAGAAAATTTGGAACAGCTTGGAGAAATGCTTCTAGAGGAATTGAACAATATTCCCAGAGAAGTAATCAGAAATTTAGTGGAATCGATGCCTAGACGATGTGAAGAAGTTCGGCTAGCCAGAGGAGGACACACACATTACTAATTTTGTTGAAAATATTATTTATAGTTTATTTAAAAAAAAAACATTTGTGAAAAATTAAAGTTTTATTTTCCAAGCGTTTATTTTTTTATTTGATTTATAAAATATATACTCCATGTTTTTCAGAACTAACAGCAGTTACAGAATGTAAAAAAAAGTTTTTGATTAAAAGTTATAAACAAGTTTAAAAGTGGTCCTTAATTCGTTTTGAGTAGTTTATATATATGTATAACAACAGAAGAAGTAAATAAAACAATAAAAATATGTAAGTCGGTCCTTAAACATAACTCATAAATGTAGGCACATTGTAAAAAATATTTAATCAAAAAGATCATATTATGAAATGTCTTGGGAAAAGTGAATGTTACAATGGAGAAATAGTTAACCATAATGTGACGACGAGGTCTCCACCAGTAGTGATTGGGACTGTTGGGTGACGTGCTTACCTCTTATATACAAGTTACTTTGACTCAGTATATTGTGAAATATTTATAATAGTACTTTCACATTAAATAATTTAAAATGTCTTCCTCAACTGAAATTGAACAGGAAAGACTGTTTCTTGCTACTCTCACCTTAGAGGAGTTCTTCGATGAAGATGAGTTTAACAAGATGCAGTATCAAGGATTCAGTCCATTTGATTTGCTAGTGACATTGAGGAAGAGGGCTAGCGAGAAGAACATCTCAGAGGAGATCCATAAAAAGAATCTTGGCTGGTTGTCTGCTTTGGGCACAATGAGAGGTACCAACCTCACTAAAATTCAAAGTAAGACAGGCAATGAAGGGAAGAATAAGCTTAAAGAGCTGATCTCCATTTACAAAGTAATGTTCAAACCTGTCGGTATGGATGATGCCTCACTATCTAGAATAGCTGCTTGTTTTGCCCGTCAGATATCCGACATGAGTCATCTGAAGGGGAAATTGTTTTTACCAGTTTCTACTGATTCATTGACTGATGGATTCCCTGCAGGACTGAGAGTGTCATCAGCTGGCTCCCTTATTCCCTCAAAGGCTTGCTGGCATGATCCCAATGACTTCGTATCCTTCGTTGATGCCTTTGCTTTACATCAATACCATTTCGACAAGGTCATTAACCCAAACACCAAGAAGCAATCAGCAGGATCTAAGATTAAAGGATTTGTCGTGATTCAAATATCTTCTAAGCTGTATTCTGATGATATTAGAATTTCTCACTGGAAAGGGCAAGGCTTGGTCAAGCACCCAGCTAATAGTACTCAGATTACTTTTAAAACTGATGTGATCAGATCTAACATCATGAAAGCTTCTGAGGCCTGGAATAGTCTTAATTTAGAATAGGATTACATAATCATTTAGGTAAGTGTTATTAATCATTATATATTAGCATGTATGTGTGTGTGTGTGTGAAAGGAAGTATGAATGACTTCAGGTTTGTCCATGTAGCCGCAAAATGTGACAAATCTTCAGTTCTTCTTCTATTTCTTCATTACAAGGATACCTTTTTTCTATGAGAATGTCGTTTCCTACCCTTAAAGAAAAGCTGCAGGGTAGTGACAGTTTGATGGCACCTGGATATTTAAGGGATTTTTCTTCTATTTGTTGTTCTTCTCTACACATCACGGTAGTGTTTGGATGAGGCTGTATAAATGTGTTTTTTCTAACTTCGGTTATAACTAATGACTTTGAAGACAAACATCTCATTGGACAAGTTTTCGCGATTTCTTCTACGGTGGCTCCGTGAAACAGCATTTTTGCACATTGGGATCCATGTAGGTTGTCTGATGAAAATCTTGGAAGATAGCATAATTTATTTTCGTACGGCTTGCATTGGTGTAGGTTGGTTCCAGAAATGGTTAGCGCTACTTCCTTCTGGTTCCTTGTCGCTACTGCCAAAAATAAAGCTTCGTGTTGAATGTGACATGTTTGGTTGTGCCAAGCAAATGGGGTTGTTACCAACTCGTAGAGTTGCCATCTGGAATTTGCTCTTCTTATTGGAACTTTTACTGTTACCATTAATGTTTCTTCTGCGATGACACAATCAGTAATTGGTATTTCGTAGTATTTATGGATGTCTTCAAGATTAATTGCTATCTTTTGATCGGCTTGTTCTATATGTTTTTGTAGGCGTAGAAGGTCGCTTTTCAGGATATCTGGTGTTATCAAGGTTGTTGGTATTTCGTGGTTTTTGCAGGCTTGTAAAATTTGAAATTTTTTTATGTGGCGTCCCATAGCGATGGTGTTTAACATGTTGTTAAAAATGAAACTGGATAAGTCGTGGGCATCTGCTTCATATTTATCGTAAAATGTTTCTTTTTGAATTGTCCATATTTTTAACATTTCTTCCATTTTGTTTTTTGTGTCGTTAAAAGTTTTCTGAACCTCTTCCTGGTATGTTTGGAATTTTCTTGATGTGTCTCCTAAGATTCTCAGTGTTCCATCCAATTCTTTATTAAGCAATTTTATTCTTTGTTTCAGGTCGCGTCCCTCTAGTACCAAGGTTTTGACTTTATTTTCTTTGGCGACACCACAACACCAACTCAAGGCATCTCCAATGAAGTCGAGGGCTCTTCTGTAAATTTTTCTCGGTTCTTCACTCATCTCTGGGTTTGTAACTTTCCATGCTTTCTTACCACACACAAAGACGGCGATAAAAGAAAATTTCAAACGTGCTTACCTCTTATATACAAGTTACTTTGACTCAGTATATTGTGAAATATTTATAATAGTACTTTCACATTAAATAATTTAAAATGTCTTCCTTAACTGAAATTGAACAGGAAAGACTGTTTCTTACTACTCTCACCTTAGAGGAGTTCTTCGATGAAGATGAGTTTAGCAAGATGCAGTATCAAGGATTCAGTCCATTTGATTTGCTAGTGACATTGAGGAAGAGGGCTAGCGAGAAGAACATCTCAGAGGAGATCCATAAAAAGAATCTTGGCTGGTTGTCTGCTTTGGGCACAATGAGAGGTACCAACCTCACTAAAATTCAAAGTAAGACAGGCAATGAAGGGAAGAATAAGCTTAAAGAGCTGATCTCCATTTACAAAGTAATGTCCAAACCTGTCGGTATGGATGATGCCTCACTATCTAGAATAGCTGCTTGTTTTGCCCGTCAGATATCCGACATGAGTCACCTGAAGGGGAAATTGTTTTTACCAGTTTCTACTGATTCATTGACTGATGGATTCCCTGCAGGACTGAGAGTGTCATCAGCTGGCTCCCTTATTCCCTCAAAGGCTTGCTGGCATGATCCCAATGACTTCGTATCCTTCGTTGATGCCTTTGCTTTACATCAATACCATTTCGACAAGGTCATTAACCCAAACAACAAGAAGCAATCAGCAGGGTCTAAGATTAAAGGATTTGTCGTGATTCAAATATCTTCTAAGCTGTATTCTGATGATATTAGAATTTCTCACTGGAAAGGGCAAGGCTTGGTCAAGCACCCAGCTAATAGTACTCAGATTAAATGCAAAATTAATCAAAACACTCCTAGCTTTATTCATTACTTTTTAAACAAAAATGATGCAAACAGTTTCGCCAGATATATTGATATAATGTATCCAACTAGTGAAACTAATTTATGTAAAGTCAAGCCTATAGATCCTAAACATGATTTTAATTCTGTAGACTTAGACGTTATGTTAACTGAAATAAAAAAAACTGCTGGTGACGATATTTTATTAGACAATGTAGTATTTTACATAGTTGTAGTAACTTTTCCATTTTCAATCAAATTTTCAACTTATCACGAAAAATTTAAGAAATCTATATCTAAAGCTGTGTTCTCCTATAAACATTGCATAGCTCATCTTGTAGACTTGAACTTTAACGATGACTCTAAAGTTGAAATGACGATTGAAACCATGTTTAAAATTTTCATTTCACAAGAAGATTGGGGTATTTCTTGGTTAAGTGAAATATCTAAAGAAGCAGAACGTGCAGCACTATATAACAATAATAATGTTGAACTCGCCGAATTCTTCATGAAGACCTTCACTTTCACCCCTACAAAATGGTACTCGCACAAGAACTTTTCGAACGTGATTTTGTTTCAAGACAAAGGGCATGCGAAACGCTCCCTGATAATTTGCCCCCTGAAGCAGTTGTGTTTTTTATTGATGAGGCACACTTCCACATCTCAGGTTGTGTTAATAAACAAAATGCCGGACCATGTATTTGATTTATTTTAGAGAATATTTCATTGCCCATAATTCTCTACCAGGAGCGAATTTTCAAAATATGGTATTGCAGAACCCCAATGACATCTGGCCAGAACTGTACGACATCGAGGACCTACAGGAAGACGTTCATGCGTATAACAACCTTCTTACACGCATTGGCCACTTCCTCACCGTCATTGAGTGGAGCGGAAGCGCCACTGAAAGCGCATTAGCTTGTGCAGATATTCATGAGACCCTGTATTTGGGTTGACATATGAGTTCTGAAGATGATGCTGGTGTTTTTAGGAGATCTAAAATGAAAAGATCCAAATAGTGATACAGTCATGCCTTACTTTTTTGTTGAAGATAAGGCTTTTTAGTTAAAATCATATATTATGAGACCATATCCAGGAAAACATTTATCAGATGAAAGGAACTCCTTTTAAAATTAGTGCTTTAGGATTTTAGAGTGAAATTTTGGCAACACTGTACATGCGAATTTTTTTTTTATTTGACAGTTTTGTAGGTTAGGTTATTACAAAACAACATGGAACATTTAACACTAGAACAACGTTGCGAGATTATTAAAATTTATTATCAAAACCAAAGCTCTGTAAAGGCAACTTGGCGCGGATTACGTGCACGATATGGTCCACATCAACCACCAAGTGAAGAAGTAATTCGTAATGTTGTGAAGAAGTTTGAAAATGAGTTTACATTGTTGAATAATCCAAGAACAAATCGTGTCAGAAATGTGAGACATGCAGACAATGTTTAAGCTATAAGACAAAGTGTTCAAAATAATCCAAATTTGACTGTTAGACGTCGTTCTCAGCAATTGGACCTTACATATGGATCAACCTGGAGGATTTAGGTTTGCATCCATACAAAATTCAATTGGTTCAAGAACTAAAGCCCAATGATCATCGTTGTCGCCGTAATTTCGCTGCTTGGGCGATCGAACATTTGATTGAAGATCCGTTTTTTCATCTTACTGTAATGTTCAGCGATGAGGCTAATTTTTTTTTAAACGGCTATGTTAATAAGCAGAACTGCAGAATTTGGGGTGAGGAGAATCCTCATGCATATGAAGAAACGCCGTTGCATCCAGAAAAGGTTACAGTGTGGTGTGCCATCCATGCGCGTGGAATCATTGGGCCTTATTTCTTCGAGAATGCCCAAGGAGAGCGTGTTACGGTAAACGGCGTTCGTTATCGGGCAATGTTGAATGACTATTTCTTGCCAATTGTTATTGAAAACCAACTGGAACAATTTTGGTTCCAACAGGACGGCGATACGTGCCACACCACCAACGAAACCATGGAGTTATTGCAAGAGCACTTTGGTGAAAAAGTTATTTCAAGAAATGGCCCTGTAATTTATCCAGCAAGATCTTGTGATTTAACGCCGTGTGATTTCTTCCTGTAGGGTCTGTAAAGTCGAAGGTCTACGCTAACAATCCAAGAACAATTGAGGATTTAAAAACCATTATCAGAAATGTTATTCGTGAGATACCGGTCCAAATGTGTGAAAACGTAATGTTAAATTGGACTATTCGAATGCGCTATTGAAAACAAAGTCATGGAGGACATTTGACCGATATTATTTTCAAAACATAATTGTAACTAGCTAGTCTTTCAAATAAAAACAAAATACTTTGGCCTTGCAACAATGTTTGTGTTTTATTTTGTTTTAAAATCCTAAAGCACCCTTTATTATCACGTGCTAGAAGAACTACTGAAAATTTATTTGGTATCCTAGCAAGCAGATGGAGAGTCTATAGACAACTTCTATTATGCTCTATCAAAACCACTGAGGGAATTGTTACAGCAACTGTATTTGCACAATTATTTACAAACTAAAACACCCCTCCTGGGTTAATATACTTGTAAGGGTCCTGTAGTACATAAACTTTTAAATTCAAATTTGGCGCTATTTTAACCAAGAAAAATTTAAATAATCCACTAAAAATATTTTAATATTATAGTTTTAAGTTATTTTATGTTTTAAAAACCTATCGAGTTTTAAATCTTCACTTTTTTGTATTTGAACGTAGAAGTATTAGTGGGATTTGTTTATGTCTGAGATTTTTGCCGAGAAGTTAAAAGATAGATAAGGAAATAGACAAAGGGCAGAAAAGTCTAGACCGTCATACGATACGCCTGTTGAAAAGTTTGTGAAATTATATTATAATATAAGTATAATTATTGCGATTGTAACCGATTTTCTGCTATAATTAGGTATGTAAACTTATAAATTGTGGTTTTTGTAATTATCTTTTATATTATACAGGGTGTCCAGGAATGGATTTCCCTTTTTAAACTCGAATAACTTGGCAACAGTGTAACGTAGCGGGATCGCGTTAGCGTCGTTCGATAGTGGATCGATGCGTATTATTTAGTAAAAATGGAGCGTTGGTCAGGTGCGCATTGTGCGTTCATTATTGAGGCATACTTCAAGAACAACGTACATAATTGCAAGGCGAAGGTTTTGTGCTCACTTCAATATTAGGCGTGTGGAGGATGCACCAAGTAAAAATTTGGTCAAATCATGGGTGAGGAGGTTTAGAGAAACATCGTCAGCTGTAAATGTGAAACCCCGTGGTCGTCCAAGGACTGTAACTGCTCCTGAGAATGTTGAGACTGTACGTGCCGCGATAATGCGAAATCTAAGCACAAGCAGTGCGAATGCGCAAATCATCTTTTCACACAATTTTAACCCCTTCAGACCTGAATTATTTTACGACGATAAAAAAAAATAAATGGCTCTTACATCTATCGAATTAGGACCTAAATAACATATATTTGATGCTAAAAAATCTTAATTGTGAAATTTCAGGATAATTTCAGGATGTTCACATGCATGTACATCGAATGTTTTATACGGTTTAGGTGTGGATAATACCAAAATAGTTTTTACATGTCTTAGTACATACCTTTAGGAACAAACTACACCAGTTTATACTTAAAAAATATCTTTATAAATCATCTAAAGACCCGCTAAGACAAACTGTCGTCAACGAGTTGTTGCTGTCATTATGCGCATCTCCATTATATGAGAGAATTTTCAATCAAAAGGGGCAGTTTAAATAAGAGAAGTCGCTAAAAGTACCTTAGTTTACCAAAACAAATGTACTTGGGGGTGAAAACTAGGTTCTAAATGAAATTTAATGCCTATTGATAGTAATTAAATTACTAAAAAGCTAATGTACATGTGAATGTACGCCAGGTCTGAAGGGGTTAAGGAGAGACTTGAAGTTTCATCCCTACAAAATCCAAATAGTGCAAGAATAAAGCCCAAATGACTTTAGAAACAGTTGTTCTTTCGCCAAAACAATGATAGACCATTTTTTTGCAAACGATGGATTAACAATATTCTGTTCAGTGACGAGGCAAACTTTCACCTTTCAGGCGCAGTTAATAAGCAAAATTGTCGCTATTGGGCACCAGAGAATCCAAGGCAAAAACACGAAAGGCCCCTACATAGCCCAAAAGTAATTGTGTGGTGTGCGATGTCGGCTTCAGGAATTATCGGTCCGTACTTTTTTGAGAACCGACGCGGCGTAACCCAGACTGTAAATAGCGATCGTTATTGTGCCATGCTGCGGGAGTTTTTGGTACCTCAGCTGAAAGCATCAATCTCATCTGTATCAAATTATAAAATGTTGGAATAAAGTAAAGTATGATCATGTAGAGACTGAAGAAATATTAAAAAAACATTTTTTTATGTCGGTTGTCTCCTTTTTGTATTATATCAGCATCAAGATATGTAATAAGTATTGCAAAAAATATTGAAATATTTATTTCCGGTATTTTACATTTTACTTGAGGACAATGGGGAAGAAATGAAGCAGATCATGCACAGTTACTTATGCTCAGGGGCATAATTAAGGCATGGAAGCAACCAATTTCGTACTTTTTTTGTAAATCCACCACAAAAACAATGAATTTGGTGAGCATGTTGAAAACTATTATTAAAAAATGCCAAGAGGCAGGACTTACAATTGTGGATACTGCCAGTGGCCAGGGATCCACAAATTGTGCTGTGATAAATTATTTAAAAAGTCAAATGCCTGATAAGGATTACTATTCAGAAGACCTTAAAATCTTTGGAGTAAATGGAAAAAAAATTGTCCACCTATTTGACCCTCCAGATTTACTTGAAGGGATTAGAAACAATCTAATTACAAAAAATCTAGTGTGAAAAAAAAAAGAAATGGCTTGTACAGAAAAATAGGACCACATTTCAAAGGTGTGTCACCTTGACAATTATTCCGAGGGATCGAGGCATTACCCAGATTAACAAACAACCATGTAATCCCAGAAAAAAAATAAAGAAAATGAATGTTTCACATGCTGCCTAAATATTAAGCCATTCTGTTGCAACTGCTCTCAAAAGTAACAATGGTGACTTTCTAAGGTATATTTAAATACATAATAATTAAAAATAAAATGTATATGAGTTTTTTTTATATCAATTTACAATTAAATTTAAGTACGTCACATCAAATGTTCTAGAACTTTGGTCGTTAAAAACAACAGGATGTTGATAAGAAGTAAAGTAAAGCAGTAACCACAAACAGGATCTGGGGTTTCTGTTAATTAAAATATTTTTTTGTTTTGTGGTTATGCACACACAGTTACGTAGTTTGATAGATAAAAATTTATTGTATGAAGAAAATTCTTGTAAAATGCATAATATTTTCTTTTACCATGTCAGACTTTAGTGAGTTAACCAAGTTACGTAAAAGTAAGTTATATTTTTTATATTTTTAACCTTAATTATAATTATTTAATAATTATTTATTCCTTTTTCTTTTTAGCAATATAACTCCACCTCCGCCATGTTTACCTTTAAAACAGTAAGTTATTTATTTAATGTTTAATATTTAATAGAAGAGAGTGCGAAGATTGCGGAAAGCTTTTTTGCTTTTGTTTCGTTAAAGAGCTGAGAAGGTAATACACACACACAAAACTTTTTTCCAATTTAAGTTTTAATATTTTTTTTCTTTTTAGAACCCAATCATCTCCCATCTCGGTAATAGACTTGGTGATAGACTTGGTATCTCCAGATTCGGTGATATACCGGATTTGAAGTGCGATTCATCGATAGCATCCTCGTCAGAGTTATCTTCGCTACCCCTGCCGATATTAATTAATGATCAGTTTTTTCAGAATACCTTTTTCTTTTAGCAATATAGTTTCACCTTCGCATTTAGCTATTAAGTGGGGGTTAAGGGAGTGTGAGGAATGTAAAAATATTTTTTGTTTT